AGGGCATGTCGGATATTCGGCCGTAGCGTGGTTGGAGAGTCACGGTGCGCAGCCTCGGCAGCGCCAAATCCTGCGGACATGGACGTGACGGTACGGTACCTTTTCCGACCTGGCCGGCATATGGAAGCGAGCGTTCTCACCTGCGGCCACAACAGAGTCAGCTGTTCGTGCAGGTTTACCCTACTCAAGGTAAGGTGCTCCAGCTGGCTCCAGCTCGCATGTTGCAATGAACGGAAAATAGCGTCCACACTCCTCAGCCTAAATTCAACCCCTTTCGTCGTCTTGGCAACCTCCCGCATTAAGGCATCCTCGGAGGCAACGCTAACCAATTCCATGATCAGCAATCGAGGTGGGCAACTGGTGTGGACGCGGCTGTCACTGTCGAGACACCCGCCCGTAATAAGGGAGCCCCCAAAGGAAAACTGTGATTTCTTTGAGGTCTTATCAACCTCGTCCTCGTCAATCCACACCACCTCTGGAGGAGCGGCCACCCTTAGCAGGTCCCACACTTCCTCGGTGTTGAGCGTGAGCCGGCCACGGCCCCGCCACGGCTGCGTCCTGGTGAGGGCGGCCAAGCGCAGGCAGGTGCGGCCCACCGAGAACAGGGCCTCGGGGGGCAGGTAGGAGAGCACCTGCAGCAGGGGCAGGTCGGGCAGGTCGGGCAGCAGCAGCGCCTGCGGCCAAGACGCGGGGCGGTAGCGGTGAGAACAGACCCAGTGAACACGACAGTTACGAGGAAGTCTTGTAGATGTCTTAATGACAAAATTGGTCACGAAATTGTCAAAATTTGGGCTAAAAGTGCGTCAAGTTTCCGTGTGTTTACTGGGAACTCGCTCAGACGGCCGGCGGCTTAGAACGGAAAGAGGGACAGAACATCTCACGCGAGACACACTGCGAAAACCAAGATCAAAACGGATTCGGAAAAAGTCAAGAGTACTCCGGGCGATTCTCCTTGACAGCAGACGCGGAGTCACATTGTGGTGAGCGTCGATGCTACTCGATCCTGCTAGCTGCTAGGTCCTACCTGCTCGTAATGATCCCTTTCCATGTCGGCGACGGCTGCCACTGGAGTTGAGCCGGACTCCTCGGAGTACCTAGGTGCTTTGCAAGCCCGTGGTGGTTGACACCGGGTGGGTGGAAGCGGCGGCATCTCCGCTCGGGGGTTCAGTCAGCAGTCCCGCGACCTAACCTAAAAGACAGTGGCACGGCGGCCGGTCCCGGCGTGTTGACGTTCACTGCGCCCGTTGCTCCACAGTCTCTAAATATCGGTTAAACAGAAGCCTCCGCAGAGTAATGCGAGGGGGCAGCATTTGTGTCGTGAGTACTCACAGAGTAGAACGAACAAGTGCCGGTGTGGTTGTCTCAACGCAGCCTGATTTAGGCGTGATGTGACGGAGCGAGAACTAGGAACTAGGCGAGACGAAGGCGTCCGGTCTGGCCCGGCGTGTGGGACGTGTGTGTGTGTGTGTGTGTGTGCGTGCGTGCGTGCGCGCGCGCGGAGGGGGGGGGGGGTGAAGGGACTGGAAGGGGCAGCGGCGGGTGAGCAGAGGGCGGAGGTGGCGCCGCCGCCAAAGAACGAACCTCAGCCGGATCCCCAATGAAATGCAGAAGAATTCAAGGAACAAGAAAACGGAAGTCACTATATGTTAAAGCATAGCGATTTTCGTTTTTTTTTCTTCCCCTCATTCTTCTGCGTTTCAGCCTTACCGGAATGCTTTATTATGGAGGAGTCCATGCTAATCTCTCCTGTGCCAGAGGGGAGGAGAGAGCGAGGAGGGTTAGGAGGTTGCCTCCCGGTAGTGAAGTCATGGGGACTTTCTAAAAATATAGAATGCACACAAGTATGTCAGGGTTATCCTTCTCACTGTGTTCCTGGCTCTGACTCACACTCACACCGCACCCGCGGGTCCGCAGAGCCACTCACCCCGCCCGGGCCGGGAGGCATTGCCCCCCCCCCCAACCTCTGCACAACAACACCGTCGTGCGGAGGAAGAGAAGCTCCCCGAGCCCGTCCCAACTGGGCGAAACTTGATAAAACCTCGCCGAGGGGCGGAAGGAGGGAAGCCGCCGGTTATTTCCCGAGGTCGTTATCCGCCCCGGAGCACGACGTTTGGCGACGGCGAGCTTCCATAGTGCAAGGCGCTCGAAGCGTCTACGTCGCGCCGAGTTAATTACGGAGAAATTAAAATTGAAATAATTTTTTTTAGTGACTCATACAAAAAGGCTAAAAATAAAGGCCCACTGCAGTATGCAGTACGCTCTCTCTATCACAATCGAGAGGGCAATAACTCCTATTTTAAGTGTGCACATGATTCCCGAAACAACCGATTCCCGTTGATTCTCCTTGATTCCCGATGATTTCCTTGATTCCCGGATGATTCCCATGATTCCCGCATGATTCCGGCATGATTCCCGGCCCGGTGTACACATAATATCGAGAGTTACAGCCCCCTTGATCACAATATTAGAATTAACGTAGGGCCCCGTGCGTTAACATTGTGCACGGGGTAGCTGAGCGAAGTGCATTAACTTTACAGAAGACATAAAAAATATAGAACAAAACTATACCGAATGAGGGTCCGCTTAGTAGGTAGGCAACCGGTCGTCTGCTCCTTGAACGTGAGAGAT